GACTTAACTATTACCAGGGATGGGAGGGGTAGAGGGAGGAAGTGGGGGAGAAAGGGAGGGCTAGAGGGGAAAGGGGGGAGGGTGAGGCTTAACTGCAAAATGTATAAAAGAAGAAAAACTGTTCCTGTTAATGTGCTTGATTTGAGACTTGCCAGTCTCCTTGCACCGCTTTGGGATCCCAAATAAACTTTGTTTGCTTCTCCCCCTGGTGTCTTTATTGGCGCGAAGCACACCGGGCAACGAACCCACTGTTGCTGTCCTCGAGCACACCTGTGCTGGCAACACCCTGTTCCACTTGTTTTTATCTGCCCCGTGTTGCATTAACATCTTTCAGGCCATGAGCGTCTTTTTTTAGTTAACTCTTTCTTGCCTGGAGCTGGGGTGTCTGTTTTAAATTTCTGGAGGTCTGGGTACAAATTATTCCTTTGTTTTTCTTCATAATACCCTTTACCCCGAGATCTACCTTTAGTGTGTGCTCCCCATGCCCCAGTTATGCCTTTATTGCCGCTTTTATTAGAATAAGTAACTGAGGGCTCTAATGTTGTAACATACGCCACTTGTTTTTTTTTTTTTTATGGTAGGGGCAGGACCGGAATATGTAAGTATTTGCCGGACCATGTCTCTTAGTTCCCGTAATGTGGCCGGCTGGCCAGGTTGCCACACTTCCAGTCTTATTGCATAAAACAGTTGTAAGGAGGCAGCGGATTCTCTTAAAGAATCTACACTGAAAGGCACCAGGTCCAGTTTAGTGGCCGTATTACGTGTAACTAAGCCAGCCATTATCTGCATGAGACCCCATCGGGTTTAAAACGTTTCAGGGTTCTCATCAGTTTCCTGTGAAATCGCAATGGCTTGGGCCACAAAATTACGCCTGCCCATTAGTTCTGCAAATTTTGTTAGAACATTCATTAGCTGGTAATTCCCATTAATTCTGAACCTGTCTATAAGCCCCCGCATATCTGGGGCTGCACAAATGCTCCTTAAGCAGTGCAGTTCGTGTGAGTTTAGATCCTTTCTTTTTTTCAGTTCAAGAGCATTTACACTCCATCTAGAGAAATTTTTTTGTTTTAAAATCCCCAGCCACTTTGCCATGGCCTGGAGATCGGAGGCAGAAACAGGCACTGTTGTTACTGTTTCACTCCCACCACCCTTTCTTGTGGTGGTGACTGTTCTCTTTGTTGTTGTTGAAATGGCATTTTGGCTCTCGGAGGAGGAATTTACCCAAATATCCCCTTCCCAATTTCCAGAGGGGTCTAAGAAGTCTGCCCCATCTGGGGTCTCAAATATTCCTTTTTCTGAAGTTACTGCTGCAACTTGTTTGTTTGCAAATTCCAATTTTTGTTTCAGTTGTTTGATAAGTGATTTACAGTAGTTATGGTCAATAGGGGCTTTCCCCTGTTTTAAAGTTAACTTTTTGACCATTTTCTGTAATACCTGATTTTCTTTTTTAAGTCTCCCCTTCTCTTTGGTAGGCTTCTGTAAGATTTGAGAGTGTTGTTTTAACTTTCTGTACCCATCCTTAAGGGAGTCTAGCTGGGTTTGGCTGCTAATGGACAAACATTTCCATTTCTCTGCTTTTGCAGCAGAGGCTTGTAAATTTTGGTGCAGTTTCTTCTTTTCATTTTTACATCCAGCCAATCGAAGGAATACCTGATTACAGGTTTTCCATAGAAGCCAAACTGTAGCCGCTTCTTTTTTTATTGGAGTTGAGGGTTTATATATTGATATATATTGAGCCAATTTATTTTCTAGGTCCGAAATCGTGTGGACATCCGCTAACACTTGATCAGACCAAGGGCTGTGTCCAAATTTTTGCAAAATGTGTTCAAAAGGGGAAACATCTTTTACAAACGCCAATTTTTCAGGCCCTTTTTGGGAGCCTTTTTAAAAGACTGCTTACCTTTAAACATTTTTTAGTATACCCAACCTCCTATTGGGGCTTAAATAGCAATGCTTATTCTTTTCGCCTGGAGCAAGAAATTTAATTCTTCTTCCTTCTTTCTACTGCCGTCACTCTACGACGGGGGAGCGAGAAAGCTACTTTTTCTTCTCTCTATACCCGGCCTCCTACCACTGGGGGTGTGCACACCTTAATGATCGATTACTTTTTAATACTTTTTAATACTCAATATCAAAGTTTGTTTCTTTACTTAATAAATGCTTGTGGTACCTTTCCCCCTTTCGCAATTCTCCACCAAAATGTTGTACTTAAAGTACTATACAGGATCTTTTCAGGGGGATTAAGGCAAAACGCCACATTTATTAGTAATACAGGTATCAATTAATACTTTATGATTTGCATATGAGATACATATATATATTACAGTTATGCATTCACACACACACAGAGACACAAACACACTCCGTTTTGCTGTTGTTACCAACTAGTTGCTCCCCTTAACTGCACTGGCCAGGTGAGTTAGATGCGGGAGGGGTGGAGCCGGGCTTTTGCCGATTCGGATCGATGCTCCGTTGGTGACAAGACGAGACCCGGGGTCCTTCTGCAAGACACCTCACTTTTAGAGCAGCTTTCCTTTTATGCAAATTTATACCAGATTCAAAATCTCCCCCTCCCATCCCTGGTAATAGTTAAGTCTGTGTTCGTTGGTTTGTGTTCGTTGGTTTTTGTGCTGCCTTTTTTTAGGCGTTGTTCCAATGCTGCTCAAAGAGGGTGTTTTTTAAAGAAGGTGCTTGCTTTTAATTTTTGAGGCCATCAATATGTTTGCTTTTTTTTATGTTTGCTTTTTTTTATTGGGCCCACCTGACAACTTGTATTGTCCTTTGCTTTGGCTTCCATTCCCTCTCCAACTGTTGTAGCTGTTTGGAGGTGGGTGTTTTTCAAGCCTCATTTATTTACACCTTATTCAGTTAATGGGGCAATTGATTACAGAGTGGGGGGGGGAGATTTTATTCTACTTTTAGCAAAAAGACACTTTTTTTTTTACTTTAACTATACTATCCTTAGGGGCTATAACATTGGATACAAAGTTTTTTACCAATTTTCTATATAGGGATTTAATACAAAGTTCTATGAAAATAGAGAGGCACAATGCCAAGTTATATGAAATACAAAATAACGTTATGCAAAATGCAATGTTATAAAGATTTATAACGATAGTTAAATACAGAGATTTCTTTACACGGGGCCCAGCCACCAGGGGGCGCAGGAAGTGTTTCACACCTGTCCCTCCAGGGCAAACTGCACTCCATGCCATATCCAAGCCAAGCAGGCCCCTGAGCCCTGGCACTTGTTCTCCCCCCCCCCCCCACCACACACACGCCTTGGCCCTATGGGGTGGGCTGGCAGACAAGAGCATCCCTGGGATTCCTGGGCTGAGTCCTGCCCCTCTCCACATGCTCCGCACTCGCCCCAAGTCCCCTCGTCTCTGACTGGGTTGGCTGCTGTTCCTGACAGGTTGTGACCCGCCTGATCCACTTGCTGAGCCAGAAGATCCTTGGGAACCTACAGCAGCTGTGCGGGCCCTTCACAGGTAGGGGCCTTGGGGGGGAGGGTTAATTTGCAGCTTGCCCTAATGGGGGTGCAGCCTGTCAGAGTTACAGAGGCCCCAGCATGCCATGCAGGGCCCTCTGTCCCTAGCCGGGGCTCCAGGCTGTGACTCTATCACCGTGC